ATCCCCAGTCAGAGCACATACAGGAATCAATGAATGCATAATTGGAACAACAAATCAATATTTCTCTTTGTTCCTCTCTCCAAAATCAACTTTTAAAAATCAAAAGGGTCAGTTCATGAAAATGGCGTAACTGCCTTATGTTTATTCATCTAATAACGGCCTCAAAATACATGGAGCAAAAACAGATCTAACTACAAGGAGAGAGACGAATGCTCAGTCATAATTCGCAAGTTTAACACCTCTCAGTGATCTATAGAACCTGTGGGTAGACAATCAGTAAGGATGTAGAGCAAGCGTGTCAAACTAAAAGGCTAACACAGGCCAAATAAACAAGGTTTAAGTTTATGTGGGCCGCAAAAAAACAAAAGCTTAAATTTTCATAGAAATGTAGGTTTATTTTGATAGAGACATGCTGAATACAAAGGGCTGAAATAAGCGAGTAATCATTAACAAAATAATAGAACATTTTAACAAAAATTATTTTTTCTTGAACATTAACTTACCAGACTCTGAATAACTGTACAAATTAATAAGGGTAAGGCAAATAAACCTATTTTTCCTGTTCTCCGAAAGCGAAATATTTCCGGTTGCGCACACCAAACAAGTCAGTCCAAGACTAATGACGTGGCCATCGGCTGCTAAAATATTCGCTGCTAGTATTAGTAGAGAGAAATGGTGCGCCTGTGCGTAAGGCGCATAAGAGAACTGAATGCAACATGATTATCGTAATCAGTCATTAGCGAACATTGTAGTTCGTTATTAATAATTATGTATAACAGGATATTGTAAAAATTAAGTTATGAAAATTTTATTGAAACGTTTCTTACATACCATTATATTGGCTGGGCTGCAAAAATATTCCTTGTGGGCTGTGTGTTTAACATGCTTGATGTAGAGGCCTTGAACAGCACTTTCAACCAACGTGGCCTAATTGGCAATTCCTAGAACACTCCCCCCAACAGCAGCGGAACGCTTCCTGAGGTGGGAGTCATGTGGAGAAGTATTGAAGGTCACAGGACCAGGAGGCCCCCTGGGGAGGGAGCGCTGATGGAACACATGCCATCTGAAGGCTGAACATTGGGCCCCTCCAACCTGCAGGGGTTGGAAAGAGGAGAGGATCCAGCAAAGGAGGCGGAGAAGGAGCCGTGGTGATGAGGACCACCAGGAGAATGTGGCCACCAAAAGCTGGTGAAGGAATGTTTGGGGGGGCGGGGGGGGGGGGCTAATCCTGTCCAATAATCAGCAAGATGAGGACCAAGGGCTGCTCGCTGGATTTGGCCATGGGGAGGCGTGGGTGACCTCCACAGGAGCACCTGCTCAGAACGTGGGGGTGGGCTCAGAGCACCCCTGGATATGTTCAAGGCTGGTGAGACATGCTTGATTTTCAAGCATGCACTCATTTTCAAGGAGTTTTGCTGAAAAGGGCAGGAAGGTTTGGCAGGGTTTTCTCCTTTTCCTGTTTAAAGAAGGGATGCACTGGACACCGTTGGGAAGAATTTAGGGAGGGGGGAGAACATTTGGGAGCAGGAGGAGAATTTCAGAGGTGATGTCCATCCATGAGAGGGGATGGGGGCCAGCGCTCTCAGGGCCCCCAAGGTGGCCTTGGCGGGGGACACAGGTTCTTAGTAAAGAGAGCCAGGCACTGTCAGGG